TCTCGAACTCAACTAAGTATCGCAAGCATAAACAACGTCAACAAGAGGCCATTCTCGTCTACTACAAATCGCGAGGAAGCTTCTTCTACATCGATCCCAGTTAAAGCTAGTGTGGTCATCTCACCAACCTTGAGGGCAGGGTTGCGCTGAAAAGGGGAAGATTGTTATGATACTAGCCATTCGTAATAATCTAGGAATTTCTGGTCTCATCTAGTTAATTAATTAGTTGGTATTTTATTAGTATTGTTTATTGTTTAATTGTCTTACTAGGATTGGATTGCTTTGTAGTAGTTGTAGTTTAGGATTTAGTTATTGTATCCTTATTAGAAAAGTAGTCATGTTTTAGGTAGGAGAAAGAATATGTTCTATGCTTATAAATATGTACTTCATCTTTCATTTAAGAATATGAGAAGATTGGAACCTGATCACTTCAATCCGTGCAGGTTTTTGTTAGAGGTTTGCACGTATCCACAACTAGCCCATCCTAGGCCAAGTTTAACAAAGAACGACGTTGTCGTATAGTGGTAATCAAGGTCATATTATACCCGAGTCCCGGTACCCTAGCCTAGTTCCCACCTAGTTGCTAATTAGTTAATCGGTTTTTGAGGTTTTGAGTGGAGGATATGAGGAAACTCTAGTCTAAGGATTGATAAAAGCTAAAAGCATGTACTTAGGGGACTAATCCTCCCCCTAGCTTAGGGTCTCTATGCATATATAGATATCTAGGTTCGTCATATGTGGTGAGTGAGTTCTTTTCTATGGGCCTTCAACGTTATCCACACGCCACCGAGTACGCCTCCCCTAAACCCATGTTCCAGTCACCTTGATCTAGTCTATCGTATCGGCGGCACTAAGTATATGGTTCATTTCAATGGACATTATCCACCGTCCTCACCGATATTTTATCCCGGGTTTTACCGAGGAAAGCCACCTATAGTAGGGGTACGCACCTCGACCACTATAGGTCCCCATTCACACATCTAACCTAAAGTCTTCAGATGGTGCATACCTGTCTAACCCTAGAACTCCGAACCCAGTGTGGTAGCATAAAGCATGCTAAGAGGGAAGATTGGGGCTAGTTGCCCAAGCGTCCTCATTTAGGAAAGAGTGGCATTAAAATCAACTAGGCAAACACATTCATTCATTCAAACCCTAAAACAACTATATATACTAAGTAAACACTAAAACTAGGGTTTGGGATTTAGAACCCCTAGTACCTTAGAGGGCTACTCCATAAGGGAGGGAAGAAGATACATGATAGAAATAGAAAAAGACTTGAAGTTGGGGAAGATCCTCCTTGCTCCTAGCTCCTCCTTCTCCTTCTCTTCTCCTTCCTTCAGCTTCTCTCTCTCTCTCTAGAACCATAAAATTTCTCTCAAAATCAGCTCTCTTAAACTGGGGAAAGGGGACTTGTATTTATAGGCATTCTGGACTCGGGGAGATTCTCGGCCTGAGGAAAGAAGATCGCAGGCGGAATCTTTGGTCTGTAGGCCATGATCTCAAAACGCAGTCGTCGAGGCCTGAGAAAAGCGGAATATCGCGGGCAGACTTCGCGGTCGCGATCCACGAGTCATGGCCATGATCTTTCTTGCGGGAAAGATAAGCGTTGACCGTGATGCGACTAGGGAAACTCTCTGTTTCTTCAAGGCTCCCTCCGTGCGAAGTTCACGCCCTAAGCCTCCAAGATCGCGGTCGTGATCTTTAGCTTCCGGGTCGCGATCTTCAACTGGTCCTCGCGGCTTGTGTTCTCGACCGTAATATTTGGCTTCTAGGCCATGATCTTTAGCTATCTGCCCCTTCTCTACACTTGTGGCCTTGTTTTGTACCTAATTTTCACATATAGACTAATACACCCTAAAATCACATCAAAAATCAAATAGGAACGCAATAAGGATGCATTTGACGATGTTCAAGCATTTAATCATATGAATTGGTACAAAACACACTTAAATCTGTAGAGTAAATAACACCAAGTTTGGTGTTATCAAACTCCCCCACACTTAGGCGTTTGATAGACCAAACAGATGAGGTATGCATGCTAGTTCTTCTTTGCGTAGATGAGAGTATATGCGGATGAATGAACTACTACCTTCCTACCATGCAATCACAAACTCTTGTGTGAGTACCATATCTACTACCTTAGGTTGATCATAAAAAATGTGCTCCGAGGGATTCTTAGGCAACAACAATTACTAGAACTATTGGATGTGCTTTTATTCTTTTCTTTTGATGTATGAGTTGTCATTTTTTTATTGTCTCTTTTTTCCACGTTCATGCACATTGCACCGAACCTTTGCAATCTTTTTTCTTTGCATAGTAGCATCTCTCCCTCATGACCAAGAGCGGATGAAGAGTAATGGCATGAAGATCTAGAAAAGTGTGACAGAATGAACACACTTAGATCTAGAGGGTTGTCATTCCTTAAATAGGGATGGGCAAGATAGCGGGCTAAGGCACCCAAGATCGCTACCGTGATCTTTAGCCTCAAGGCCGCGATCTTTGCCCTGTTCAGGACAAATCATTTTCTCCACTTCCTCAATTCAAAATTTTCATCCAAACATTTAAGCGAACATCCAAAAGTCAGGGCTAAGTCGCATAAATCATTTTTCATGCATTTCTAAGGTGTTAACTAAACTATTATTCAAACAAGATAAATTTTACAATGCTATATAGTATTGGTTCTATAGGGTTTTGCCTTTATGGTACAACTTCAAATTGTACATTTACGTTATGGTACAACTTCAGATTGTACCTATACTTTTTGTAAAAATTCTTTTATTGTACAACTGGAACTTGTACCTTTATGTGATGGTACAACTTCAAGTTGTAAAGTTGTACTTGTACCATAACATAATGGTACAAATTGGTTTATGGTACAACCTAAACTTATACATTTAATGTTATGGTACAACTTTAAGTTGTACATTAAAGCACCAATACTATATAGCATAGTAGAAATGCTCTTCAAACAAAAGGTAAAAGGGAAAGATACGCAAACCGAAATGTTGGGTTGCCTCCCAACAAGCGCGTCTTTAAAAGTCTTTTCGCCAGACTTGACTTCTTAAGCTCAAATGGAGAGATCTCCATTCTTCACCGATGACCCTTTGTAGAATTCATACTTGTGATGAAGTCCAAGGTGAATACCACGGAGTCTCACGGAAGCCGCATCCGGTGCTTGAGATAGAAATGATCCATTTGAGAATTAAATTGAAAGTTGGTGAGGGTTAAGCTCCTTAGTAGTGATGTCATTATCCGTGAATGGCTTGTAGCATTCCCCGAACTTTTCATTTTCAAGAATAGGAGCTAAGTGGCCCTTGACAAATCGGCTTCCCTTCTTTGGATGTCTCTCTTCAAAGATGAACCATTGGAGCTTTCTTCCATGACCATTAGAAAGATGAAAAACCTTGAAAAACTCTTGGGTTTCCCTTTTGCAAGAAAACTTTTCCTTGCCCGGTTTCTTCATAGCCTTGCAAGAATCACTCACTCCTTCAACTTGATTGTCATGGGGGTCAACATGGGAGACCATATTGAACCACTCTATCTCGGGGCTTGAAGGTGGTGTGGTAGGCAGTGTAATCGGCTCACAATCCATTTTGATATCGTCCCATTTGTAATACTTGTGAACATTCGGGATTGAAGTCCTCTTGTAGCTTATTTCCTCATCACCAAAACTTTAGGTGATATTGCTTCCACTTTTATCAATGATAGTCCATGCCATGGCTAAGAATGATCTGCCTAGAATAATATATGCATCATACCCCTCCGTGTCAAGAACCACGAAGTCCACTAGATACACGAAATGAGCATACTTTACCAAGACATTCTCTATGATTCCTCTTGGCTTGGCAACGGATCTATTGGCCAACTCAATTTGCATTGAAGTAGGAATGAGTGGTCCAAGATCCAAATCATTGTATATCTGTGTAGGCATAATGTTGATGCTAGATCCCAAGTCGGCTAACGGATTCAAAAAAGTTTTATCTCCAAAGGTGCATGGAATAGTGAAGGTTCCCGGATCTCTTAGCTCGGGAGGGGAAATCTCCACAACCAATAGATGTTGAAGCAACTTCACTAACGGACACCATAGCCACTTCTTCCATTTCCTCTTTCCCGACAATATTTCTTTGAAGAATTTAGTATATTTAGGGATCTTCAACACCATGTTTAGGAAAGGGACGAATACCTTTAACTGCTTCAAGATATATTTCCATGGAGCACATTCATGATAGAGGTCGCTTTCAAATAACCGTCTAGGATAAGGGCTTTTGGTGTTGGCTCGGTTTCATGAGTCTTAGACTTTTCCTCATCTTCAACTTTGACCTTAATGGAAGGTTGAACTTCTTCCCGAGCTAACTCTTTTTCTTGAACAACCTCTTGAGGGACTTCTCTCACCCGGATCCTTGGAGTTGGTATAGGAATCTCCTTCAATGGTCGACCACTCCTTAGAGTTACCGCATGACATCCTTCTTTTGGGTTAGGCTCTGATAGACCATTTATTACACATGTTTTTACCCCTATTCTTGAGCCGTTTGAGATGTTGATTCTCGTGTTTTAAGCCGATTTCAAGCTAGGTTGTGCGCTTATGTCATATTTCAGGACCTGGCGTTGGAATCGAGGCGAAGGAACGAGTTTCGGGTCGAAAGGAGCTCGTTTGGGTCGAAGTGTGCTGGAGGACAAAAATACCCGGCCATGACCAGAAATACCCGGCCGGGTATTATTTTGAGGAGACCGGGTGTAGACACCGCTTTTTCTCCGGGGCAAAACATATTTAATTAAATAAATGTTAGTTTTTGTTTAAAGTTAGCAATGACATATTTTAAACAAACTACTAACTGAAGTCGTATTTGCAGTGTTTGAATTGGATTTTGTTTTCCATAAGCAGTGAGATTAACAATAGCAAATCTCTACGAATTAGACTTGTGTTCGATTTTGATTGTGATAGAAGTTGATCGTTTGCTTGACATATGGGATTTTGAGGTTGGATCTTGATCACTAAGTAATTAAAGTCTAAAGAAAGAAATAACAATTTCATTTAAGACAATTACAATAAAGTAACTACATAATTAGAACAATTAATAATTCCAATTTTACAATTAAGCTCAAAACTGCCCAAGTCAACCCTCAACCAAATCAGTGAACAAAGTCGAACCGATCAGAGAACAGGTCTGACCAAACCCATATCGGTCCGATCCAACCCATAACCAACACTGTAGCTTACTTGTTCCCTAAGCTGCCTTGTTCTATAAAAAGAGCCCTTTGGCTCTTAGATAAGGGGGCTGGATGGCTTCTTCTTCCTCTGGATTTTTCCTTTCCCCTTCCAAAAGCAACCAACATAAAGAAAAAAACCTCTCATCTCTCAAGCACATAAAAATACAGAACTAAAAAGTCGGACACCTTCTTCTTCATCGGCTGCTGAACTCTTTTCTTCTTCGTCTTCTTCCCCAGATATTCCCTTCCCTCTCTGGAAAAAAAAAAAATACCCAGACTTCTTTCCCCTCGTCGAACTTCCTCTTCTTCTTCTTCCTTGCACTGCCTTCCTTCTTCTCTGAACCACAACAAACAGACAGTAAGAAGACAACACCAAGATTCTCTTCTCTTATTTTTTAGCAATATACAACCCACACACACAGAAAAAGAAGCCAAAGAACTCGACAAACACATACAATGAACTCCCTCTTCCACCCCTCTCCTTTTTCTTCTTCGCCGAACCAACAACACAAAATTACAAAAGTCATAACAAAGCTAAAAAGAAGGAAGGGATCGACAAAAGCAGCAGCAAGGCCAATCCAAGGAGTTTGGAAGGAAGAGCAGAGTCATCACCAAGCAAGAAAAAGGTTGGTAATCGAAAATAATCAACCTAATAATTAATCATCATCATTCTCATTTCCCCTATACGTCCTATACTTCTACCCATATTTAAACAAGTGATTCCAAAATACAAAAACCAATTTATCCCCAAGCATGTCTCTTTCATATTCTGGCCAAAAACCAGATTTCCATTCATTTTCTGGCTTTAATAGTAGATTTGTATTATATTTACTATTTTTGGTTTATTTGCAAACGTATCATACATGACACTAGACCTCCGTGTTATCTTTGTCTTTGATTTAATTTATGCTAAAGTACCACAATCAAACTAAAATCCACTCTCTAGGCTACCAAAACAGATTCGACGAGTCAAATTAAACAAGCTATCATATCCAAATTTAGGCCAAAAGACTGGATAAAAACTAAACTTTGAGAGGGACTTTAGCATACCTCTTTTGTTTTAGAGGGCCCCCTTCTAATCTCAACCCACTTTACCAAGACCATACACACTCGTAGAGAGCATAATCTCAAACAGAAACCACCAATCAACACCAAATTCCTAACATCCAATACGCATATCATAAAAATTGTCAAGATTAAATCCACCAATCACCATAAACAAATTTCCAACCCCAACCGATATGTCAAAATACCCTAAACCTAATTGGATTTAAAACTCATTTACGATTAATCACCATTACCACAAAATTCCATATTCAAAACTCATCATGAACAACATAGATTTCCATATTTGAACCCCCTAGAATCGTCACAAAAGCCAGAATTCCCCAACGGTAGAAACCTACCCTAAATTACCCCCAAATCGACATACATCAACCATAATTCCATAAACACCCCATTACTACCTATATGTTACATCCTACGTATACAGTGCCTTTTTGTAAATTATTTCATTCTTAGTCATATTGTCTTTAATAGCTTAGAGACAGCTCTGTTTAACCATCATTTCCATATGCATAGCAACGACATCATTTCTAGCAAAAGCATATAGCAAAAATTATTAAAACCATCAAAACTTTACTAAATAAAAGGTTGTACTTAAGCTAGACAAGCAAGACTTGATTTTGTTTCAAGGGCAATCCCTCTAATCTATTCAAAATCACACGTCCATCCTCAAAACACAGTTTAGCATGCGCAATAACAATTTGTTTTAAAAAAAACTCAGATTAGTATATATTGATTTCGAATCACTAACCAAAATCAATTCTTTAGTTGAAATTTCCTTACCATCTTAAAACAAGGGATTGGAGGGATATCACCTAGTTTTGTTCTCCCCAAACCTGCAAAAGAAAGAGCAAGTTAGAATTTGTTCAAAAGGAAAAAGCGAAAGCCAAGGAAAAATCTAAAATCCATTTCACCAAAAATCCCCTTGTCCACATCGTCATCGCCGCCGGCGGAACCTTAGACTGCAGACGGCGGTTCATTTTCTTCCTTCCTCTTCTCTTTCGAATACCCCAATAGTAATTCAAATCAAAACAACTAAAGAAATGGCCATAAACTCGTCGGAAACTAGAAAAAACTAATTAAAAGGAGAAATCGAAACCTCACCAGAAGGGTTTCGTCGGTTTTCGGCGGCGTCGTCATTTTTTGTCGTCATCGGTACTCCCCTTTGTCCGTCGCCACTGTCGATTCCGTTTCTTTCTCCATGTCCAAGAAAACCCCAAAAAGAAAAAACAATCAAAACCCTAAAACCCAGAAAATGACATGCAATCCTATAAAGGAACCCTTACCAATCTCTGATTTCCGTCCTCGACGTCATCATCGTCACCGGAGGAATTAGTAGACGTCATCGTCGCTGCCGCCGGCCTTCCTCACATCCTATTCCTCTTCGGCACCAGAAAAGAATAGAGAGCTGGAACGGGAGGATTGTGAGTCATTTTCTTTTGGGAGAGGAAGGAGGAACTGAGCGAGAGAGAAGCTTCCTTTCTATGAATTCTGTTCGTTTTTCTTCGGGAGAAGAGAGGGTTAGGACTTAGGCGGCCGCTAGATGGAAAGAAGGAGATTACGGTTTTCATTTTACCCAATATCAGCTTGTATAAACTCACCTCTAAGGTGACTATTTCCCCTTAATATCCTCACATTAATTTACTTCCCTAAAAATTATTAATACATAATTTAGATGTGATCGACTCTTTAGTTTAGTGTTAGTCCAATTAATCCTAAACTAAAAAATATCTAATATTTTATCATTGTGAAATTACTAATTTTGTTATCTTATTATAGATATTTTTCTTTAACAAACTTAATACGAAATACCAAGTCAAATCATGGTCGATAGATCGTGATAGTCTTTTATGATGAGACTGCTCTCAAAATCGTCAAACATTCAATTACTACAATACAATATCAAAATACATTGCCTCTTGAAAACTCAATATTTACCTGTTCACATATAAATAGAAATGTGTTTAGGTTCTCTTTTTACCAAATCTTTCATTTAATCGAACTACGTGGACTTTGATCCCGATTAAATCGGGTACGTAGGCAACCAATAGGTTCGAGTCCAACTAACCAAAAAACCTCTTTCTTTAATTTTGAGATTTTACATCAATAGATGTATGCTCAAATTGTAATAACAAAATACTTAAATTAATCGAATACAATCATTCGCAATAAGCTACAAATAATAATACACCCAACCTTTAAAAACTTATCGATTTAGGTAGTACCCATTTGGGACGTTGTGGGGGCGTGAATACACTTCCCCACACGTAACCGTACTCCCGAACCCGAATTTCTAAAATTTCGCAGACCAAAATCCTGATTCCGACCCTTAGGTCGAGACAGGAGCAAATGGTGTTCGATCCACCACAGCTAAGGTCGATGGCGACTCCAAGAAGTTCGCAAGCGATACCCCGGTCCGGAGGGGCGGTTGCGACAGTGGCGACTCCGCCGGGGACAATTCGAGAGTCGGGCTACAACATTTAAATCGTTAAGTTTTTCTTATTTTCTTCGGTAGCTTGGGTGTTTATTATCTTATTTGTGCAACTACCTTATTGCTTATTAAATTATTTGCATCATACATAAAAGCTCTATGCCCGAGTTCTACCTTTAGAAAACACGAAAGGAGTACCGTGAGGCCTACAATAGTAGGTTGGCACGCGAAACTTTCTAACCAAGTTGAACTCAAATCCGAGGTTGATTTGAGGTATCCGACTAAGCTTGAAAGAGCAATAGTAGGGTACAACTTGGGAATAAATCCCTAGAACTCATTACCCAGCATATAGTCAGTCTAGAAGCCACCTTAAACTATCCAAAACTTATCCTGAGGCCTATCTTAAACATTGTTGTTAAACCTCGTAAAACCCTAAGTTGGCCTAAATAGGATGATGTGTTTATGATTCATGTTTGTTTATGATATAATGAATTATGCTTCATCGATTATGCATGAATGATGTGGTTAGATGTTATGCAAAAGTTTACAAAAATCATGACATTAGCATTTTTTCCGTTCATTCTCCAATCGTTCACTCTACAATCAATCAAGAAGGTAATTTTACCAACATTCATGCATTCACACAAAAAAAAAACATCTTGCATATGCATATTCATACCATTTCGCATGATTATCATATATTCATCTCATTTATCAACATGGCGGATTTAACCATAATAAATCAAGAATTCTCTAAAATTGTTCATCCACGAGGATAAAGTCAAATCCTATGTACCAGATCCAAGGTTGTGCTCATTCTAGAAGAAATTCGATGACAGCAAAAGAAGTCAACGGTACCAGATCACAAGGAATCTATCAGAAATTTCGAAGAAGTTATTCGTTCAAACATCAATAATCCACTACCTAGCTATGGAGATTAGTAGGCATACTACTAGAGAAGGCTTAATTCGAGCATCATGTAGCCCCGCACAATCAAACAAATGTCTAGATACTCTACCATATTGAAGATGTGTACAAACCTTTATATCATAATAAAGAATGATGTGTAACTCGCATTTCCACCTATTTGGAACATTGTGTGCCTACTACCAATCTTGATCTAAGACTTTGCATCAATGATTCTTTTTCAAAAATGACGAATATATCTTCCATATCTTTTAAAATCTACCTGCTTCTGTGGAAATGGGAACCTAAAAACGTATTTCATGTTTTCAAGTTGAGCCATGAGATTTTCATATTAAGCAACCATAAGCACCCCACTGGTGCTGAGTGTTTATAAACACCGTACTGGTGTCCAGGATTTGATCCACCCACTTATGTTGAGAGTAAACACATTTTGCTAGAGTTGAGAGAAAAACACCCCACTGGTGTCCACAAATTATGTGAGCTAAATAGTCAAATGGTGCAACGAGGATATGACACTAGGCTACTTGTAGAATCTTGTCACTATCCATAACCGATATAGGTCGTGTATTTCGAATTATGGCCTACAAGAAGCGTGATGCCGACATTATAATAGCCAAGTTTTGATGAAACCCTCATCGAGGCACGCATAGAATCCACATCATCTGTTGAGGCTAAAGAGAAAAATGTCTCATTAGCATCCAATGTCTACATGCATAAATCTAACCCAGGAGGAGGCATTCAAACTGACATCATGAGTATCACTTCCTCAAGAAAGGGATAGCTCGTAGCCCATACGACAAGAAAATCACTCACGTCGACAAATTTCTAACATTTTGATGCTCAAGTCAAAATGACAGCATGTATGGGGCATAACAACATTAAGTAAGTCCCACAAAAATTAAAAGGAAGAAAGAAGCCAAAATGTCAAGAAAAATCAAAACAAAGAAACAAAAAAGAAAAATTGTGGGGCTTACACATTAGATGCCCATACACGAGCGCTTGAAGCTACAATCACTCAAACTCGTCCCAAATGACTGGCTACCTTTGCGAAGAGGCAAAATAGGCGATCCCAAGTTTAATGTCGATATGGTCACAAGGGTTCAATATTGGACAAATATCTCAACCAGGATACACTCAAGCGGATCTAGCCATCAAGTTAACAAGCTTTCCAGATCAAAGAATGCTTGTCTTTCAAGCATGAGGACATAAAGCAAAGAACCCCTAATGAGAAGGGTTCATAAGATGAGAATATCAACATACGCTTAAATTACATCCCCATGATGATCCCTATTATCCAATTCTTTCTAGTAAAAGAAGAATCCCCATGATAATACGATTTGCCAATCATAACCGCCTCATAAAGGTCTTCAACATTCATCATTCCAAGAGCCAATAAGCAGTTGAAGTCTACATCACACAAACACCTCCTTTATCCATGAACCAGCTTTATACTTTGGGGGCAAGTCAGAATCCCTCAGCAGGAAACTTAGACGATGAAGGATGTGAGACTCATTTATCCATCATTCATTTGAGAAAATTCAGCTTCCCAAAACATAAATGACTCTGACGTACAAGAGTCACTTTCCAGAAAAGTTCCATAACTCACATGACGAGACCATACAGAGATTACATGGAATCTCCATGATCATCAACTTATACCTCCGACAGATTTGTCCATCAACTTGGCGACAAGAATCTTGATAGTAGCCAAAGTGTCGTATACTCGAAGCACCCATAGGAATGAGTGTGAGCGAAATTGAGCATGAGAATGAAAGTGAGGGCTTGTGAATATTCTCATGGCTTGACTTCCGAAAAGAACGAATTTTTAAACAAGGTGACAATAACCACACAAGAAATCATTTTTCTCATATTGCACACAATTCCCCCAGCAAGGCTTTGATTTCAAAAGTCAAGTTCCCATTACATCCTCTTAAATGATTTTTTTTTCAAACATTGTTTGCATTCATCTTAAGTCAAGATTGGTAAAAGTCACACTTTGTTCCAAAGAATGGAAGGCGAATAACACATTCTCGGGGGCAAGATAGTGCTACTCGGAAAGAAAGAAGAAAGTGGTTCTTCAAACCCACCAAATCATGAGTAAATGGGAAATCTCATAGATCTTGAATCATTTTTGTTCAAGATACCCTACCAATCAATCAAACTATCCGTCAACAAAGTATTTGTGTACCTCATACCTCCCGATGAGGTCAATCAAGCATGTCTAGAAAACAGACGTCAACAAGACAATACCCAGGAGATAACAAATTTGTCTAATCCAAGCACGACATGCTCACATAGCAAGAAGATCAAGCAAACTAAATGAGCACATTATCCTGTGACCAACATGCTACAAAATCCTCCCATAGAAACAACCTACCAGGCACATCCCATGAAAAGATCATATGGCTAATACATCAGCCACCCAAGAATCAATGTCCAAGGTGGTACAAAATCCTCTTACAAAAACAACCTACCAAGCACATCCCATGAAAAAATCATATGGCTAATACATCAGCCACCCAAGAATCAATGTCCAAGGTGGAGAAAACAGAAGACCAACCTTCCATCAATCCCCATAAGCGACATACCTTGTGCTCACTGAGTATATAAAAGAGGATAAACTAGATGGCAAGCGCAGTACCTCGAGATAGTGACACACACCAACGAAATAAAGTACCCATGTCGGCAGTATGCTACCCCATCGCGAGCACAACCAAGGATCAATTTTACTAAAAGGCAATGACATATTTTCCTTGTGGATGATCGATTTAAGAGAATCCATGAAAAAAAACATCAAGACCATGATGAGGGATCATACTCTTTCATACGCATACTCTTCAAGACATCATCATATGATTCTTCATACAATCAATCTTTCAAATGCACTTCAAACTAATCATACAACATCATTCATTAGATGGCTAATCTCATGAATTCATATCATTCTAAAAATTCACTTAAACTAGATTTCCATCAACATATCACATAATCCCATATCACATCATATAACATCTTGCATTTTCCCACCAATACGAAGCTTAGACAGCCTTTACCAAATCAAGTTTGACACATACCTAAGATCTAGCTAGACTCAACAAATTGATTGATTCAATACCTCATATCAAGCAGACAACTTTATGCCACTCGTCATCGAGTTAAGCTTTCAAATATCCTCTTGAACTTTTTGCCATGGCACACATTATCAAACAGGCTATACTGCCACGAGACAAAGACCAAACCAGTCTATACTGCCACAAAAATTCAAATTAGACTACATCACCACAAGAATAAAAGAAACTCAAAATCAGACTATATCACACTATTTCTCTCACATATCCTCCATAACATGACATTATCATTCATTAACATTACTCATCACATGATTGTCTAAAAAAAACTCTCATACTCATTATCACCATGCATTAAAATGTCTAGCGTGCCATATCCCGGACAACCTCAGAGCATTGCGATCAATAGATGTTTAGCATGTTTAACCCCGAACAAGTTTGATTGCATTGTCTATTAAAATGTTTAGCGTTTGATATCCCGGACAACCCCATGAGCTATGCCATCAATAAATGTTTAGCACGTCATACCCCGAACAGTTTGATTGCATTGTCTATTAAAATGTCTAGCGTGTCATATCCCGGACAACCCCATAAGCTATGCCATCAATAAATGTTTAGCCCGTCATATCCCGAACAATTTGATTGCATTGCAAGAAAATGTCTAGCATGTCATATCCCGGACAACCTTATCACATTACTATCAACAATTGTTCAGCCCGTCATACCCCGAACAACGTGATTGCATTTTTCATTCAATTTGTTCAGCCCGTCATATCCCGAACAACTTGATTGCTTTCTTATACCATCTTTTGATTTGTTTAACTAAAAACTTGAATGCATCGGCATACCCAAACAATCGACCCATCACTATTAGTGTCAAAATACGGTGTCTTAAAAAGAGCTTTGTATACCTCTCGATACCAAGAGATATACAAAGGGGGGCAACTGTAGACACCACTTTTTGTCCGAGGCAAAACATATTTAATTAAATAAATGTTAGTTTTTGTTTAAAGTTAGCAATGACATATTTTAAACAAACTACTAACTGAAGTCGTATTTGCAGTGTTTGAATTGGATTTTGTTTTCCATAAGCAGTGAGATTAACAATAGCAAATCTCTACGAATTAGACTTGTGTTCGATTTTGATTGTGATAGAAGTTGATCGTTTGCTTGACATATGGGATTTTGAGGTTGGATCTTGATCACTAAGTAATTAAAGTCTAAAGAAAGAAATAACAATTTCATTTAAGACAATTACAATAAAGTAACTACATAATTAGAACAATTAATAATTCCAATTTTACAATTAAGCTCAAAACTGCCCAAGTCAACCCTCAACCAAATCAGTGAACAAAGTCGAACCGATCAGAGAACAGGTCTGACCAAACCCATATCGGTCCGATCCAACCCATAACCAACACTGTAGCTTACTTGTTCCCTAAGCTGCCTTGTTCTATAAAAAGAGCCCTTTGGCTCTTAGATAAGGGGGCTGGATGGCTTCTTCTTCCTCTGGATTTTTCCTTTCCCCTTCCAAAAGCAACCAACAGAAAGAAAAAAACCTCTCATCTCTCAAGCACATAAAAATACAGAACTAAAAAGTCGGACACCTTCTTCTTCATCGGCCGCTGAACTCTTTTCTTCTTCGTCTTCTTCCCCAGATATTCCCTTCCCTCTCTGAAAACAAAAAATACACAGACTTCTTTCCCCTCGTCGAACTTCTTCTTCTTCTTCTTCCTTGCACTGCCTTCCTTCTTCTCTGAACCACAACAAATAGACAGTAAGAAGACAACACCAAGATTCTCTTCTCTTCTTTTTTAGCAATATACAACCCACACACACAGAAAAAGAAGCCAAAGAACTCGACAAACACATACAATGAACTCCCTCTTCCACCCCTCTCCTTTTTCTTCTTCGCCGAACCAACAACACAAAATTACAAAAGTCATAACAAAGCTAAAAAGAAGGAAGGGATCGACAAAAGCAGCAGCAAGGCCAATCCAAGGAGTTTGGAAGGAAGAGCAGAGTCATCACCAAGCAAGAAAAAGGTTGGTAATCAAAAATAATCAACCTAATAATTAATCATCATCATTCTCATTTTCCCCTATACGTCCTATACTTCTACCCATATTTAAACAAGTGATTCCAAAATACAAAAACCAATTTATCCCCAAGCATGTCTCTTTCATATTCTGGCCAAAAACCAGATTTCCATTCATTTTCTGGCTTTAATAGTAGATTTGTATTATATTTACTATTTTTGGTTTATTTGCAAACGTATCATACATGACACTAGACCTCCGTGTTATCTTTGTCTTTGATTTAATTTATGCTAAAGTACCACAATCAAACTAAAATCCACTCTCTAGGCTACCAAAACAGATTCGACGAGTCAAATTAAACAAGCTATCATATCCAAATTTAGGCCAAAAGACTGGATAAAAACTAAACTTTGAGAGGGACTTTAGCATACCTCTTTTGTTTTAGAGGGCCCCCTTCTAATCTCAACCCACTTTACCAAGACCATACACACTCGTAGAGAGCATAATCTCAAACTGAAACCACCAATCAACACCAAATTCCTAACATCCAATACGCATATCATAAAAATTGTCAAGATTAAATCCACCAATCACCATAAACAAATTTCCAACCCCAACCGACATGTCAAAATACCCTAAACCTAATTGGATTTAAAACTCATTTACGATTAATCACCATTACCACAAAATTCCATATTCAAAACTCATCATGAACAACATAGATTTCCATATTTGAACCCCCCTAGAATCATCACAAAAGCCAGAATTCCCCAACGGTAGAAACCTACCCTAAATTACCCCCAAATCGACATACATCAACCATAATTCCATAAACACCCCATTACTACCTATATGTTACATCCTACGTATACAGTGCCTTTTTTGTAAATTATTTCATTCTTAGTCATATTGTCTTTAATAGCTTAGAGACAGCTCTGTTTAACCATCATTTCCATATGCATAGCAACGACATCATTTCTAGCAAAAGCATATAGCAAAAATGATTAAAACCATCAAAACTTTACTAAATAAAAGGCTGTAATTAAGCTAGACAAGCAAGACTCGATTTTGTTACAAGGGCAATCCCTCTAATCTATTCATAATCACACGTCCATCCTCAAAACACAGTTTAGCATGCGCAATAACAATTTGTTTTAAAAAAAACTCAGATTAGTATATATTGATTGCAAATCACTAACCAAAATCAATTCTTTAGTTGAAATTTCCTTACCATCTTAAAACAAGGGATTGGAGGGATATCACCTAGTTCTGTTCTCCCCAAACCTGCAAAAGAAAGAGCAAGTTAGAATTTGTTCAAAAGGAAAAAGCGAAAGCCAAGTAAAAATCTAAAATCCATTTCACCAAAAATCCCCTTGTCCACATCGTCATCGCCGCCGGCGGAACCTTAGACTGCAGATGGCGGTTCATTTTCTTCCTTCCTGTTCTCTTTCGAAAACCCCAGTAGTAATTCAAATCAAAACAACTAAAGAAATGGCCATAAACTCGTCGGAAACTAGAAAAAAACTAATTAAAAGGATAAATCGAAACCTCACCAGAAGGGTTTCGTCGATTGCCGGCGGCGGCGTCATTTTTTGTCGTCATCGGTGCTCCCCTTTGTCCGTCGCCACTGTCGATTCCGTTTCTTTCTCCATGTCCAAGAAAACTCCAAAAAGAAAAAACAATCAGAACCCTAAAACCCCGAAAATGACATGCAATCCTACAAAGGAACCCTTACCAATCTCTGATTCCCGTCCCCGACGTCATCATCGTCACCGGAGGAATTAGTAGACGTCATCGTCGCTGCCGCCGGCCTTCCTCACATCCTATTCCTTTTCAGCACCAGAAAAGAATAGAGAGCTGGAACGGGAGGATTGTGAGTAGTTTTCTTTTGGGAGAGGAAGGAGGAAGTGAGCGAGAGAGAAGCTTCCTTTCTATGTATTCTGTTCGTTTTTCTTCGGGAGAAGAGAGGGTTAGGACTTAGGCGGCCGCTAGATGGAAAGAAGGAGATTACGGTTTTCATTTTACCCAATATCAGCTTGTATAAACTCACCCCTAAGGTGACTATTTCCCCTTAATATCCTCACATTAATTTACTTCCCTAAAAATTATTAATACATAATTTAGATGTGATCGACTCTTTAGTTTAGTGTTAGTCCAATTAATCCTATACTAAAAAATATCTAATATTTTATCATGGTGAAATTACTAATTTTGTTATCTTATTATAGATATTTTTCTTTAACAAACTTAATACGAAATACCAAGTCAAATCATGGTCGATAGATCGTGATAGTCTTTTATGATGAGACTGCTCTCAAAATCGTCAAACATTCAATTACTACAATACAATATCAAAATACATTGCCTCTTGAAAACTCAATATTTACTTGTTCACATATCAATAGAAATGTGTTTAGGTTCTCTTTTTACCAAATCTTTCATTTAATCGAAGTACATGGACTTTGATCCCGATTAAATCGGGTACGTAGGCAACCAATAGGTTCGAGTCCAACTAACCAAAAAACCTCTTTCTTTAATTTTGAGATTTTACATCAATAGATGTATGCTCAAATTGTAATAACAAAATACTTAAATTAATCGAATACAATCATTCGCAATAAGCTACAAATAATAATACACCCAACCTTTAAAAACTTATCGATTTAGGTAGCACCCATTTGGGACGTTGTGGGGGCGTGAATACACTTCCCCACACGTAACCGTACTCCCGAACCCGAATTTCTAAAATTTCGCAGACCAAAATCCTGATTCTGACCCTAAGGTCGAGACCAGAGCAAATGGTGTTCGATCCACCACAGCTAAGGTCGATGGCGACTCCAAGAAGTTCGCAAGAGATACCCCGGTCCGGAGGGGCGGTTGCGACACCGGGGAAAAGAGGTTTTCTGCGTGTGAGAAACAGGAGGGGTCCCGGTCGTGAAGCATAAATCCCCGGTCGGGGATTATTGGAGCAGACCGGGGATTTTCCCCTGGCATGAAACGCGCGTTTCAATTATACCTGGTCGAGACCCAAAATACCCGACCGGGTATTTCGACCGGGTATCGCGACAGGCAACCTTTTAAAGGAAAAGAAGGCTAATAATCAAGGGTTCCGAGTTTTAGAGAGACAGAGCGATTCCTAGAGAGAGGAAGCGATGAACCAGAGTTCCCAAGTGCCATAGCTTGATCTTCATCACCATTGGAGCCCGGCTTGAGCTTGGAGAAGTGCCGATTGACGACCAGGAGCAGAAACTCATCCTTCACAATATGATTTCCGCATCTGAATTTGCTTTTGCTTCTCTCTCCATGGAGTAGTTTCCCCATTCATCTGGGTATGGAGAACCCTAGATTTGTATGTTAGGTCTGATTGTATGAACCCAAGTACAGATTTTATGATTTGATTATATTCGATTGAGGCTTGAATGATTGAATGACTTGAATCCTGATCAAATTCCTGTTGTTTCTGCTTTAACCTAGAATGAGAACATCTGCCTAGGTTGATAGAGCATCCTTAATTGAAGATAGTGAATTGGCGACTTTAGTCGAGGAGCCAATTTGCTATTCTGTACCGAATTCAATTCGGTAGTGGAGGTTTGGTTCGTTAGGGCCTCAATCTGTTTACTCCGGTGGAGGTTAGTCGCCCGCTGGAGACTCGGATTGAGAGGGTCTGGAGACCTTTAGTCGAGACTTCAGACTGTTTAAGAACCTTCCGCAGTATAACTTTCATGAAAACTGAACTTGGTAAATTGCAATCCGGCTTAACTGCAGTCTAGGGGGAACCATATCCGGGTGACCTCTCTCGACTTGAAAACAACCGTTTAACTTGCTTTGTTTGTTTGTTAATTTGGACTTGCACTAAAGTTTCACTGCTAGATAATAAGAATTCACTGAGTAGCCATCAAATCCAGGACTCGTGTTGACATTAAAACCCAAACCCGCTATACTACGCTTTAGGAAGTGGTTACACTTTGCCAATTTCTAGAGTGACAGTAGGAGTGAGTCAGGCTCGATATTGCCCGGTAGAGCTCCTTATGGTCTCAATGAGATAGTCTGAGCCAACGAACTTAGTCGGGCTTCAAGATTTTGAAGTGAAGCTTGTTTATTTCTTTACCCCGCTTCCAAACTCGAGAATTTGGTTCTGGTGTTTTCAATGAACTTATTAATATCTTCGAACTTCTTGTTAGAATGTGTGACAAATTGTCCCACCAAGTCTTCAAGCTTAGCAAGTCGACCATCGGAGGGTTGGCTTTGTTCTTGAAATGTCCCTTGGTATGTTGGTTGACTCGGTCTCGGGTATGTATTTGCATTGGAGCTTGAGATTGGAACCCCGAAGGTTTCCTTTACGTCGGAGAAAACCAAAGAAAGTTTAGGTGATTTCTCCATCCCGAATTACAAGTCGAGCTATTATGGTTGTTTCCTCGGGATCGACCTCCAACAAATTTGGCTTGCTCGAATTGAATAGAGGCCTCAATCATCGACTTGCATTCTTCAATGGTTTGACTCGAGTCACCACACCAATCACACTTCATAAGTTTGCTTCCCATTGCCTTTCTTTGATAATGCAACTTGATCGATCTTCTTGGAAAGTTCTTGAATATGGGCCGATAGAGATGATGGTTCTTCGATCTTCAATAAACTTCCCTTTGATATGCTCTTTGCAAGTGACTTAGTATTTCTTAAAAAAAATTATTTTTTTTATAAAATGATTAAATCTTGACTACTTTATTTTACTATTAGACTTTATATGAATTTGAGAATTATGAAATTGGTAAGTGTATAATATAAAATATATAAGTGTTTTATCACGAGTTTAGAAGAATTAAGCCACGATTTTCATAATTTTTACACAATTATACGTGGGCTATACACTAAAAATTTTATGAACGATTTATATGCAATATTTTTCTTTTTTGGTAAAGGTGAAATCATTCATTAATTAAAAGAACCAGGAGAAAGGAAAAAGGAAAGGATACAGTCCACAATGGCTCAACAAGAACCAGCCAAAGCAGCCGCTAGGGAGACAAAAACAGCAAAAAGAACAAGAACAAGAACACCAAAACACTGAAAGCAAAAACAGATCAAAACAAAACAAAAAGGAGCCGAAGAAGCAGAAGCAACAAAGCCACGGGAGCATCACTAAGTCATCAGCAACAGCAACAGCAAACGCAACAGCTCCCCCAAAATACAACAAAAACGCCAAATGCCAAACGCCAACAGCAGCGTCATCGACAACACAACAGCAGCAGCAGCAGCCGAACATCAGCACATAAGCAAACAGCAAAACCAGAAAGGCAAATGAGGATAGACCAGAAACACCACTGGGCACTAGAAGATCATTGTGGCGGTTCCTGCATGACTCTAGGAACTAGCTGCTCTTTCACCTTCCTCATCCAATCCTCCGCAATGACTCTGTCAACCTTCCCATTCGCGCACAACCAGTCTGCCATAGCACGAGCGATTCGAAGGCAGACCACATTCACTGAATCCTCCTTGTCTCGAAATATCCTACCATTCCTTTCCAACCAGAGTCGCCAACACAGGGCGTGCACAAACACCCTGGAACACCACTCTCGAGGACAACCAGGCTCCTTTTGCTGCCACCTACCGATTAGAACAGATATATCCCCATCACGATTAATAGGAAGCATCACAAAACGCCTCATTACTTGCCACACCATACGCGAGAACCTGCAACCCAAGAAAAGATGATCCGCATTCTCTTCCTCTTCGTAGCAAAGGGTACACCGGTTTGGGAGCATCCATCCTCGCTTCTTTAGCATGTCTTGAGTTAGAATCTTCTTGTGGAACACTAACCAAACAAACACACAGACTTTGAACGGCACAGGCTGCTTCCAAACAAAGTTAGCAGGGAACACAATTCCACTGCTGTATTGTTCACCAAACAGCGAGTCATACATGGACTTTACTCTGAATCCGGTGCTCGGGGACGGCTCCCAAGTTATTCTTGATGGACCTGCAGAGAACAAAGTGGAAGGGATAGTTTGAAGAAAATTTAAAAGAGCAGATCTCTCACCCTCAGCCCCACCTCTAAGATTATAGTTTAAATGTATATCCCAAGAAAGATTTCTCTCCCCAATATGCAAGACATCAGCAATACGACAGCACGGCGAGGCACAAGCAGCGACGATCCTTGGAAAGACTTTGGCAAGAGGGGGTTGACCTTTTATCCACACGTCGTACCAGAAGGAAGTCCAAGCCCCACTACCAGGATCCACCCAAGCTAATTTCCAAAAATCCTTCGAGAGTTTCTGAATTTGAGACCACGGGCTGCAACCCATCGATCCACTAGTCTCACCCGTGCTCCATTCCGATGCTTTATGAGGGAACTTAATGCCGATCAGCTCCCTCCACCATTCCTCGCTTTCATAAGCAAATCTCCACAGCCATTTCGCTAACAAGGCTTTGTTACGCGTCCTCAAATCAACAATTCCCAAACCACCGACTTTCTTAGGCCTTTTACAAGTCTCCCAAGACACCAAATGCATCTTTTTCTCTTGGCTCCCACCTGTCCAGATGAACTCTTTCTGAATTCTCTCAACCTTCTCAATTATGCAAGCTGGTGCACTAAAAAGCGAGCACTGATAAAGCGGTTGGCTTGCTAAGACTGCATTACACAACGTTATTCTACCGCCTAAAGATAGATATTTACCCTGCCACCCTTCTAACTTCTTCTGCATCTTCAGAAGAATTGGTTCCCAAATAGCTGTGGATGTAGGCTTAGCACCTAAGGGCAGCCCCAGATACACCGTGTGAAGATAGCTCCAATCACATCCAAGAATTCCAACCAGTCTTTCAATGTTATCCACCTCACCAACCGGATACAACTTACTCTTATCAAGGTTGATCTTGAGGCCTGTGATGGATTGAAAGCATAAGAGGGCAGCCATAACATTAAACACTTCTTCTTCCGAGGCATTGCAGAAAACAATAGCATCATCAGCATACAACAAATGAGACACCTGCCCTCTCATGTTCATTTCGTCAAGATGGAACCCAGTGATGAGACCCTCTGGTTATTCATATATATTTTCTCATAACTATAAGTATGTTTGAAAAACCCGGAATCCTGACTCCGTCCGTCCACAATTCTGTCCTTCGTAACGTTCTCAACGACAGGATGAACGACCTGCAATATCTCGAGCAGGCACCTACTATTGTCTCGGAGCTACATTCCCAATGTCTCAATTTAGATAATTCTCTAGTGGGGCTAAATTCCAGCCTCGAATCGAGTCTTCTCGGTTACACCTCCTTCTCCGATCGGGTTCACGTCCTGATCACTGATACCGCTGCCGAGCTCACTGCTCTCGATTCGTCGACGGCCGTTTCTTTTGTAGGTGGACGAGCGAAAGAGCAGGCATTGGCAGAGGAGCTTCCGGCGCTGGCAAAGGAGGTTGCCAGAGTGAAGATAGTTCGAGATTATGCTGGTGAGTTGCCAAAATCTTGTTTGCTTCTATTATTTGGGAATGTTAAATTTACCAATTGTTGGAACTTCACCTATTCGATTGTTCCGAATTGGTAGCGATTAGTGTTTTAGAGACGGTGAGCGCCTATGATGATCTATTGTCTCATTCTATGCTTAGCTCCTTCACCAATGTTTAGAGGGCGCCAAATATTCAATCAGCTTCTTTTAAGGCCCAAATGTATTCCTGGATGAATAGCTTGCTTGGAACCAATTTTTCGAAAGTATATCTCGATTGGAGTAGTTTGTTTACTTTCTCAGTTAAGGGTTTCTGTGGGTGCGCTTTCTTTGTAATGTACTAATACCAGACATCAGAATGCATGATGAGATTAACTCATCTGATACCAATGTTTGGCATTCGAGTTTAAGAATAATATAGGACTGGGGCAGTTATGTATTCTTTGTGCGTAAAGTTCATGGTCATGCTACTATTTGTTAATTGATTTAAATTTAATTTCTTGCCCTAGGAAAATACATTAGTTCTTGAATTAGGCGTGGTGTGGATACATCACCCGTGGGTTATGTTCTTCATGGCACCTACTGAGTTGTTCATTTAGGCTGAAAACATGGTAAAGATCATTACCTATACCAATAAAGTGGCATGCATCAGCTGTTCTGTTTTGACAGCTGATGTTGATGCAGCTCCCATCTGCCGTTTAATTTCCAAGTTCTTACTTTAGGATTTGATTTGTGTTCACTCTTAGCGGTACCTTTTCGACATTGGCTAAGGTTTTGAAACAGAGAGGGTGTGGTGCTTCTGCTTGTATAAGCCAGAGTTCAATTTTGCTCTCGTCTACAAGATTACCAGGGACTATGTTGACACTATGGATGAATTGTTACAACCTCTTGTTGATAAAGCTAGACTAGTGGCCGGGGTATAGTTGAAGAGAAGAATGGATTTCGGCTATGGTAACTTCTTTGTCTACGTACTTGGCACAAGAGGTCTTTCCTGTGTATATTGGGCAAATGGAAGAAGAGCATGTTAGTGGTGTTCAGTCTCAGGCTAGAATATCCTGGCTGCATCTGGACGACCTGATGATTTCTTTTGATCAACGGGTTCTCTCTCTGGCAACACATTCTGGTGTATTGATTTCCATTTAGGAAGACAGGAACCTCGAGAAATTCTCATCTCTATATGTTTTCTGTGATCGGCCGGATTGGCTTGATTTGTGGGCAGAAATAGAGTTCAGTGACACACTTGAGAAGTTAAAAAGCCGAAGCAGATGATGAGCGGAAATGGAAAGCGAAAGGTTGCAAACTCGGATAATGCTGCTCACTATATTGAGTCTGTTCTTAAAGAATGGTGTGAGGAAGTTTTGTTTCTCGAGATGAGCTTTGATCAAATTGATCCTTTTCTTAATGATAACAGTGGGGCGAGGGGTCCATTCAATATGTCCACGGGCGGGGTTTTTGAATTTGAGATAAAAGAGCTGGAGAGATATTCAGGAAGGAGTGCGTTGAGAAGATATCAACAGTTGTTTTGAGGGGATTTGAGGCTAGCTGTCAAGAATACCTGAAAAACAAAAGGCAATGGAAGGAGAAGAGTGAAGACGGCTGGATGGTGTCAAGATATTTAGTTGGTGCTCTAGATTATTTACAGACAAAGATGGCAGTCACGGAGGAAAATCTGAATCGTATAGATTTTGTCAGTGTGTGGAGAAGTTTAGCTTCTGGGATTGATCATGCACTCTTTAATGGCATTTTTATGAGCAGTGTAAAGTTCTATGATAGTGGTGTTGAAAGTCTTAGCAACGACTTGGAGGTCCTCTTTGGGGCATTTAGGGCTTGGTGTCTAAGAACACAAGGATTTTCCCCCAAATCAAGTGAGGGCTTGAAGTTGTTGAAGATGAGGAGGAAGCAGCATAATTTGGGATTAACCGGAGATGATAATTGGATGAAAGAGAACGGAGTCAGGCACATGACTGTTAGTGAGGCAAAGAAGATGTTAAAAAGTAGGATGTTTGGAAGTTTGGCAAATTCAGAACTTTACACTTCCAAGACCCCGTAGCAGTTTGCAGCATCCAGAAAAGTAGTTTAGGTTTGAGAATTTCATACTTGAAATTATTCTTTGTTGTAAATGATTAGGTGGACGTTTGTTAACTCAAAACACTTATGTTTTCTCAAACTGAAATTGACAGAAAAAAGAGCAGAATAGTTCCAGTTACCCTTTATCGAGGGAGAGTTTAGTGAAGTGCCTGTTGGTTGTCATAGCCTCCTTGGAAATTGGCGTGTTTGAGCTTTTGCTTTCACATTCAATGCTAATGCATAGTCGCCTATATCATCCAGTGACTATGTTAGGTCACTGAATAGGTTGGAAATTTCCGGCCGTGATAGCCAAAAGGGAGGTACTGAAGTGAAAGTGATTGGGGTCTGGAATCTGGATGTCTGGTTCAGAGGGCTTTTCTCAAGCTCAGATTCTGAAGGCTCTCTGTCTCATTATGACGAATGGTCGGTTTTTCTCGTTGCCTTTACTATCAGCTGTCCCCTTCATTGGAAGGACCACGAACATGGGAGTGCATCATGTTTCAGTTTCAATATTTGGTTCCTGAGCTTCTGCTTCAGTTTCAACAGTTGGTTGGGTACTCTTTCGCTTTGCACAATTGGAAGAGGGTTGCCAGCAGAAAAGTCGGCAAAGTGAAGTTGATTGAGCAGAGAGCAAAATGCTACCACTCGCCGGTCACTCTGGTTGCACAATAATGGTTTTACTTTTGACACAAGTTGTTTTGTACTGTTGTCATTTTGCTGCGATGATAGTGAAGGATGGGTACGCCCATTTTACCAGGACTGTTGGCAGGCAGTGTAGTGTTGGGGGGTGGTCCTGATGGAAATGCTTGAAACTGAAAGCTTTGTTTTGAGGGAACACATGCTGCAGGGAAAGGAACACTAGCAGGTAGCAGCCTGACATTTTCTGGCGCTATCACCTCGACGATTCCTACAGAGCAACTGTGAAATGCTTTGATGTACTAAGCTCTTCGCCTTTGTGCAGCTCAGTACTTGCCTATTTGGTACTAGTAGAACATTTAAACAAATTCGTAGTTGGCTTATGATCATATGTGAAGAAATCAACACTCAGATCAGATACTCTAAAAGGACGGTATATCACGCTGAAAGGCTTCAATTAATGTTCTCGACGTGTAAAATACAACGAACCTCTTTGCTACTCAACCACTATACTCGAGATCAGCCTTACTTCCTCGCCAAAAGAACGTCTTACATTTTAACGTTTATTTTATGCAAATGCTATAACCAAAGGCCTCGCTACTCACTACTGGTTGCATTCCAAAACAAGATACGTAGTTACATGATATAGTTTGTTCCTACAAGAGTTGGTTCCTGAATGCAACGAACATCTTTGGAGAGAAAAGCAACACACAGGCCAAAACTGAACCGAACAACAACTTGATGGCATATCTGAAAGGGTCATAGTTGTCTATCTCTCCAGCGCTGCCACTCGAGGCTGCAATGGCTTTGGCCGATGGTAAGGCTTCGACAACAGCATCAGCCAGATCTGTGATGAAAGACGAGGTGCACCCTAAAGCGGGTACGCGGCCCCAGCTCTCAATCCCAGATTCAAGGGCCAGTTCTCTGTATTCCATGTCGATCTCTTCAAGAGTTTCTATATGCTCGCTCACAAAGCTGGCATAAAGTGGACAAATCCATTAGTTTGAATAAATGATTTCATATTTAAGTTGCTGTTGTTCACAATTCTTGCCAGCAAAAATAAAAGCGATATTTGATCGCATTACCTGACAGGGACAGCCAAGAGGCTTTTCACCCCTTTTTTGCCGAGCTCCACAAGAACCTCGTCGGTATAAGGCTTCAGCCACTGGACTGGTCCAACTCGGCTCTGAATATAGTAAAAGAACAAAGTTACCTGCTTTTACTGTGTTATGAAACAGCACATAGGTCATTGGTAGAACTGAATCAGTCATAAAGCTCAAAAGTAAGGTAACTTGTGCAGTACAGAATGGCCAAACAAACCTGGTAAGCAAGGGTATGATCATTGTAAACTCCCCTAGCCTTCAACTCTTGCATAATCAAGTAAATGCAATCCTCCATCTGATCTTTGTATGGATCTCCTGCTACCTCCACATAACTCACTGGCACCCCATGAGCACTGAAGAATATCATCACCTATATATAAAGAACGAAAGTTCAATTTTTCAGACCTGAGTCACTTGAAATTAAGACTGGCCATTTGGAAGTTGAAACCCTCAAAACTCACCTCATCAGGCTTGGAAAATGTCTGCAACTCTTTCTCTATCAAGTCAGCCATAGATTTTACATAACCTTGTCGTTTATACCATGACTCAATGACGGAAACAGGCAATCTTGAGAGATAAGCATCCTTGCTGCATAAATGATCAAATAAATAAAGCTTTACACGTTTTGCAGGCAAAATGAAGACCAAGGATTTGACCAAGATGGAAACCTGAACGTATTCTCAAGAATACGAAGGCTAGAACCAGTTGTAGATATGGAGAACTGTGGATACAGTGGCAGCACAACAAGCCTTGTTATCCTGTCCTTCTTTATCTGTAAAGCAGAACTTCAATCAATCAGTTCAAGAGTAGCGCACAGAAGCTTCTCAGTGAAAAAAATAAAATAAAAAACAAGGCATAACTGCAACCTGCTGAATTGCCTCCTCTGTAAAAGGGTACCAGTACCGCATTCCAACATAGACATTTACACTCACATCCTTTGCTTGCAAGGCATCCTTGATAGCATGAGCCTGGAAAACCGAAAAATAGTTTCTGAGAATGAAAAAAGAGAGAATTTGATTCTATAGTGGATACCAAAAGAACAGAAGTTTCACCTGCTCATCAGTTATTTTACGCAAAGGTGAGCCACCACCGATGGCAGCATACCCTTTGCTCTTAGGAGCACGGAGAACAGAAATTAACTGTGCCAATGGCTTCTGAAGAAACTGGAATGGCCTAGGTAAGCGGATAATATCCTGTAGTACGAAATCGAAGTAGAGTTAAATGCTAATCATAAACCAGAAGCACGAAGTCCCCAAACAAGCAATGAGAAAGAAGGGGGTTGGCCATACTGGATCAGCAAACAGATTGAACAGGAATGGCTGAACATCCTGAAGCGTTTCTGGGCCTCCAAGGTTTAGAAGCAGCAGACCGATTTTCTCTTCAGCGGTTTGCGATTGACTCTGGAATGAAGAAGTCCGATCGAAAGGGCAGATTCCTGCGGAAGGAGCAGCAAATGAGTGGGCTACAACATTTCTCCTCCTACCTCGAGATCCAGAGTCAATTGGAGCTGCTTTCTCAATAGGGCTTGCAGTTAACACTAGAGAAGTCTGAGCAGATAGACTCTCCAGGAAAGACACCGATGTAACTGACCCAACCTTCGAACTCGAGCTGTAAACGAAAGAAATTGGATTTCAATTGCAATTTACGTAATGAAATTCTTACACATTGAAGAGAGTTATAATAGGGTAAAATCCTTCTTCACGAGGAAGGAAAAAAAACCCCCAAAAACCTGCAACAAAGCGATCAAACACTGGCAAAAAGCGCAAATGATCCAACGGAGCTATGACTCAGCCTCGGTCCAGTACGATATAAAACAACTTCGATCTACTCAAAGGAAAAAGTTCATCGACCGACAAAGAGAAGGAACCGGTAGAAGACGAAATTCGAAGGAGCAAGGAAAAACCTCGAGAGTTTATGAGAGGCGATGGTAAGTCTCGTTTGGGGAAGCCCGGCCGCAATTGACGCCGCTTCCATGATCTTTGGAAGTAATCAAGCGTGGGTGGAAGAACGGAGGAGAATAGGCTGCGAGAAGGAGATTCAGTCACGAGTTAGGTCGACGGGAACGGCGTTGGTTATGGCCAGGAAGGAGGCTTGAGTCCGGACTACCAAGCGACGATCAGCGTCTGCCGGCGGGTGGCAATTTGCCAATTTTGGTATCAAAGGTACTTTGCGATCAAAGGAGGTTGTTAGTTGGGGTGTTCAAATGGTTTCGTGGTAATAACCAAACCAATTAAACCTAAATTTCATTAATTATAGAATAAAATGTCTTAATCAAATTATCTAAATTAATACGAAAACCAAATTAACCAAATCAAAGTTTAATTGGTTTGTTAATCGGATTAACCAAATAACATAACATTACATGAAAACAAATATAAATTATCATTTTATATAAGTAATAATAATAAGACTAACCATCCATAATTATCATTATCATTCGAGTTAATAGATCATTCATCATCTCTGCATCTAATATAGGTAGCTTACAACAAAACTCTTAACATAAATACATACGAATACCCCTCGTTAGGAAGTTAAAGCTCTCCTACAAAACACTTAAACTATACATAGTTTGAGGTGACTGTCATGGTATTGTACGTAATCCTAAAGTCTAGTAGATGTCCAAAATGTTTTGGTTTAGTAAATATAGGCAGGCTCATTTAATTTTTGATCCATAATGTTTTTGTTTGTTATGCACATGGAAATAAAATAGGGAATCACGAAAGTTTGGTTTGGTTGGTTGCATTGAAGTATAAATAATTTTGTATATAGGTGTATCATTAATTGGTTAATTGGTTTTATTGGTTAGCAGTGTTGAAACCAAACCAAATAAGCTAAATTATTTACCAAACCAATTATCCAAATTAACCAAATCAAGTTAACCAAATGCTATCGATTAATATGGTTACCACGATAACCAATCCGTTTGAACACCCCGACTTGCTTGACGGGCACAAAGGAAGAAGAAGTGGAACTTCTTTTTACCATTCAACCCCTTCCTGGTAAATGAATAATTAACTTTAAATACTAAAACTGTAAAAATAATTAACTCAATTAAATTAGTTTATATAGGATTTAAAACAAGGGATTGTTTGGATTGGAATGTCAATGCCCTACTATGAAATGTGATCTGAGTTGGGTTGTGGATGCTAATACACATTTGTATGATTTGAATGTGAATGTGATTACTGAAAATTTAACTTATGAGGCAAAAGGACAGTGCTACCTAATTACTTAATGGCCT